CCATTAACATTTAGGGTTATTATTGAGATATGGGTTGTTCTTCCAGCCATATTTGTTTATTTATGTTACTAAACATGGTTTGTTTTCCACTTTGATTATTTTCCCCCCTTTAGTGTCCTACCTCCCACTGTTGGTTTTCATTGTTATTTTCCATTTCCTCTTCCTGTAATGTTTTGCCAAGGATGTTTTGAAGAGATGGTTTTCTAGCTGCAAATTCTTTTAACTTTTGTTTATCGTGGAAGGTTTTAATTTCATCTTCCATCCTGAAGCTTAATTTCGCTGGAAACACAATTCTTGGTTGGAACCCATTTTCTTTCAGTGTTTGAAATATGTTATTCCAGATATTCCAGGATCTTCTAGCTTTCAGAGTCTGTGTTGAAAGATCAGCTGTTATCCTGATTGGCTTACCCCTAAATGTGATCTGCTTCCTTTCTCTTGTAGCTTTTAAAATTCTCTCCTTATTCTGTATGTTGGGCATCTTCATTATAATGTGTCTAGGTGTGGGTCTCTTATGATTTTGCACATTCGGCGTCCTGTAGGCTTCTAGGATTTGGGGTTCTGTCTCATTCTTCAAGTCTGGGAAGTTTTCTCGTATTATTTCATTGAATAGATTGCTCATTCCTTTGGTTTGAAACTCTGTTCCTTCCTGTATCCCAATGACTCTTAAATTTGGTCTCTTGATGTTATCCCATATTTCTTGGATGTTCTGCTCATGGTTTCTTAACAGTCTTGCTGAGCTGTCTATGTTCTTTTCAAGTTGAAATACTTTATCTTCATTGTCTGATGTTCTGTCTTCTAAGTGTTCTACTCTGCTGGTAGTATTCTCAGTTGAGTTTTTAAGTTGGCTTATTGCTTCCTGCATTTCTAGGATTTCTGTTTGTTTGTTTTTTATAACCTCTATTTCCCTGTATAGTTGATCTTTTGCTTCTTGGATTTGTTTATGTAATTCATTGTTGAAGTGATCTTTCATTGTCTGATTTTGCTGTCTGATGTCTTCCTTGAGACTCCAGATCATCTGAAGCATGTATATCCTGAATTCTTTATCTGACATTCCATCTGCTGCAGCTATTACCTCTTCTAACGTTGAGTTGACCTGCAATGCTTGTGGTCCTTTCTTTCCTTGTCTCTTCATACTGTTTGCGTTCCTTTCTACTTGGTGAAACTGCTGTGCTATTGAATTTTCCCCCTATATATTTATATTGGTCTTGTATAGTTGCAAAGTCTCCCTCGCAGGCGCGGGCAGTGGCTCTGCCCCTCCTCCAATTGGGGCAATGTGCCTACCACGCCGGCAGGCCGCTGGGCCTGCTCTGCCAGTCGGTAGCAGGTCCGCCGACCTTGCAGGCGCGGGCGGCGGCTCTGTCCCTCTGCGGGTCGCTCGCTAGGCTTGTTCTGTCGGTGGTCGCAGTTCTGCCTACTTTGCAGGCGCAGGCAGCGGCACTGCCCCTCTGCAGGCCTCTGGGGCTGTACTGCCAGTGGGTCGCAGGTCCGTCTACTTTGCAGGTGTGGGGGGCGGGGCGGCTCTACCCTTCCTCAGGCCACTGGGCCTGTTCTGTCTCTCGGTTGCAGGTCTGACCTGTTCTGATAGTGGTCACAGTTCCGACTACCTTGCAGGCGCGGGGGGGAGGGGGCGGCTCTGCCTCTCAGCAGGCCGCTGCTCCTCTTCTGCAGGTGGGTCGCAGGCCCGCCTACCTTGCAGGAGTGATTGGAAGCTCTGTCCCGCCGCGGGCCACTGGGCCTTTTCTGTCGGTGGTCCCCCTTCCCCTACCTGGCAGGCGAGGGGGGTGGGGGGCGGCTCTGCCCCTCAGCAGGCCGCTGGGCCTGCTCTGTGTTTGGTCACCGTTCCCTCTACTATGCCGGCGCAGGGGGAGGGGGCGGCTCAGCCTCTCAGCAGGCGGCTGCTCCTCTTCTGCCGGTGGGTCACAGGCCCGCCTACCTTGCAGGAGTGATTGGAAGCTCTGTCCCGCCTCGGGCCACTGGGCCTTTTCTGTCGGTGGTCACCCTTCCCCTACCTGGCAGGCGAGGGGGGTGGGGGGCGGTTCTGCCCCTCAGCAGGCCGCTGGGCCTGCTCTGTGCGTGTTCACAGTTCCCTCTACTATGCCGGCTCTGATTTTAGTTTTAAAAAGAAAACTTTTTAAGTATAGAGAGCAAAAGACTTCTTTGTTTCCTCAATCTGTTGTGCCTAGGTAGCTCAGTTCAGGATGAGTGTGCTCCTTGCTATGTTTAATCCTGTTTTTGTAGATGTGTTAATGGATAAACGGAGGGGTGAGATGCCAGATAATAGTTAAGTATCAGAAAGAGGAGTAAAAATGGTTTAGGGGCTGCAGACTCATTTCTGTGTGAGAGTCCATTAAAACTAGTTGCCTTTCTTGATCCTCAGTAAGCCTGCCTTTTATTACTTCATTCCACTCACACCCAACTAATATAGGAGAGTGTCAAAGTAGAACATGAAATAGGCAGATAATCAAATTTTATCATTGAAAATAAACTCTTCACTTTGTTTTTCAAAGGTGATGTACAACCAGATGTCCCCGGCACATACAAGTGCATTTACTCACCCACCCAGATTCTTGTCTTGTGGAGGAAATATTGGCCAATAATAGATTTAAAACAATTTTCCTAGATTTATTAAAGGAACGTTGACAAACAAAAATTGTATATATTTAACATGTACATGGTATTTTGGATATATATATATATATACATTGTGAAATGGTTATCACAATCAAACTGACAAACATATCCATCACCCCACATAGTTACCTTTTTTTGGTATAATGCATAATAATAACATTTACAATTGAGTCTCTTAGGAAATTTTAACTTATTATTATTAACTATTAACACCATACTGTACATTCTTCCTAGATCTTAGTCATCTTATAATTGAAAATCTGTATCCTTCAACCAATGTCTCTTCATTTCCCCCACTCACCAATCCCTGCTCACATGCTTCCGTTAGTATGAGTTAGACTTTTAAACAATTCCACATATAAGTGAGGTCATGCAGTGTCTGTTTTTCTGTGCCTGGCTTATTTCTCTTAAAATTTCTTCCAGTTTCATCCATGTTGTTATAAGTGAGGATTTCTTCTTTTTTTAAAAAAAAAAAAAATCAAACATGCAAACTTTATTTAACAAAAGTAACAGGTAATGTCAAACAGGCACTTATATTAAGAGAAAAACTGACTAGGAGAAATTTTATTAAACACCTTACAATAACCTACCTGCAGTTGCACTGAACTGAGCTGGTGCTCTGAATAACACAGCTCAAACAGAGGTATGGACGAATGATTTGTGCCTTTTTTTAAGTATTCATTGAATACTACCTTATATACACATAGACATTAAATTTGTGATATATTTAATTGATGATTCCAGATATATTTCATTTCTGTTGCTTTTATTGGTAGAGGTAGTTTAAAGATAAGAATATGGGGTTCTGGGTCATGAATCTTATAATGAACCCAGCTTAGACTCTGTTAGACAACAAGTCTCCTCTATTCCTCTTCAAACATTAGATGAGTTTTGGGTACTTGTTTGGAAAGTTCTCTAGGTAACATGACATGCTGGTACTGATAGTGCTTGTCTGAGTAGTAGATCTGTATATGGGCCATACACCAGTGTATATTTGGGCAGAGAAGAGACAGAAATGGACGACCTCAGGAATGGGTGAAGTGGAACTCATGTCTATTTCATGCCAGGAGAATGAAACTAAGGTTTTCTTCTTTTTGAAGGTTTAGTAGTAGCATTTCTTTGTGTGTGTACCACAATACCATCTTCTTTTTCATCCACTAATGGGCATTTTTGATTGTCTACATATCTTGGTTATTGTGAATAATGCTGCACTAAACATGGGAGTTCAGATATGTCTTTGAGGTAGTGATTCTATTTCCCTTGGATAAATGCTCAGAAGTGTGACAAATGGATCATGTGGTAATTCTATTGTTAGTTTTCTGAGGAATCTCCATTCTGTTTTCCACCACATCTGTACCAATTTACATTCCCACCAACAATGTTTAAGAGTTCCCTTGCTCCACATCCTCACCAATACTTGTTATCTTTTTTATCTTTTGATGATAGCCCTCCTAACAGGCAAGAAGTGATATCATACTCTGGTTTTGATTTGGATTTCCCTCATGAATAGTCATGTTGAACACTTTTTCATCTAGCTCTTGGTAATTTCCATACATCCTTTGTAAAATGCCTGTTCAGGTCCTTTGCCCACTTTTAAATCTGGTTATTTGTCTTTGCAATTGACTTCAGTTCCTTATATAGTTTCCATATCAATATCATATCAGATACAGGGTTTACAAAGATTTTTTTTCCATTCTGTAGCTGCCTTTTCATTTTCCTGATTGCTTAATTTGCAATGTAGGCACTTCTTAATTTGATAAAACCCCATTTGTTTCTGTTTCATTTCTTGTGCTTTTGGTGTTCAAAATAAAAAGTTATTGGCAAGACCAATGTCATGGAGCTTTTCCTCTATTTCTTTTAGGAGTTTTAATCCATTTTGATTTGACATTTTTTGTGTGGGATAACATGAAGACCCTTAAGACCCACCCACCCACCCTTCCTACCTCTCCTTCCTTCTTTTCTTTTGCATTTGAATATCCAGTATTACTAACACTATTTAGTGAAGATAATATCTCGTCTTCTTCTTTATTGTATATTCTTGCTACTTTTGTTACCAAGTTTAGTTATCAACTTCCATGTAGGTTTATTTCTGGGCTCTCTGTTTTGTTCGATTGGTCTATATGTCTATTTTAAGTGAGTGCCATACTTTTTTGATTACTATAGCTTTGTAATAAAATTTGAAACCAGTGACTGTGATACCCATGGCTTTGCTCTTGCTCAAAATTGCTTCATCTCTTCAGAGTCTTTGGTAATTTTATATAAATATAAGATTGTATTTTCTACTTCTCAGAAAAGTACCATAGTAATTTTAATAGAGATATGATTGAATTGATAGATCACTTTGGATAGTATGGACATTTTGACAATATTAATTTTTTTCTGTCCTTGAACATGTAATATGTTTCTGTTTATTTGATTTTTTCTTCAATTTCTTTTACCATTTTCATGTATTTTAATAACAGGTAATGCTGACCTCAGAAAATGAGTTTGGAAGTCCTTCTTCTTCCAGTTCGTTTTTTGAAAAATTTGAGAAGGTTTGATAATGTTTTGTATAGTTTGTAAGAGCTTATACTTTTCTTTGGGGGAATTTTTTTTAAATTACTGATTATATCTCTTTACTGTTTATTGGTTGCTCATGGTTTCTACTTCTGTATTACTCAGTCCTGGTACACTGTATAAGAATTTATCCATTTCTTCTAGGTTATCCAATATTGGCATATAATTGTACATAGCAGTATCTCACAAACTCTTGTATTTCTGTCCTCAGTTGTAATTTCTCCTTCTTTATTTCAGTTTTATTTATTTATTCATTTGATTCTTCTCTCTCTCTCTCTCTCTCTCTCTCTCTCTCTCTCTCTCTCTTGCTGTCTTTGGTTGGTCTACCTTAAGTTTAATTGCTTTTTAAAATATATTTTAAAGAAAACAACTCTTGGTTGTTCTATATACTTCAGTGCTCTGATGATGCAATGGTTATATCGTCTTGATAAATTGACCCCTTTTTTGTTACATCACAGCTTCCTTTGTCTCTTTATTGAGTTTTTGCCCTAAGATTTATTTTGTCTGAAACAAATATTGGTATATTATTTTTTTCTTTTGGTCTTCATTTATATGGAATATCATTTTCCCCCATCCTTTCACTTTAATTCTATGAAAGGTGAAGTGAGTCTGTTTTGGGTAGCATGTAGTTGGGTCGTGTTTTCTTTCTTTTTATCCAGATAGCTACGTTATCCCTTTTGATTTGGGAGTTTAACCCATTTACATTAAAAGTAATTATCAATAGGTAAGGACTTACTAGTGCTATTTATTTTCCTGGTTGTTTTGTAGATTCATTGTTCCTTTCTTTCTCTAATACTTTCTTTCTTTGTGGTTTGATATACTTTTTAGTGGTTTGGTTCAGATCTTTTCTTTTTATCTTTTTTATATCTAGTATAAGCTTTTCCTTTATGGTTATTCTAAGACTTATATATCATCCCATAACTGGCTATCCTTAACTTAAACAACTTACTTTGCATACAGAAATGCTACACTTTTATTTCCCTTCTCCTATGTTTTTTCAATGTAACAAATTACATCCTTTATTATTTATATCTTAACAAATTATTCAACTTTATTTTTAAGTTTTGCCTTTTAATCTTTATGCTAGAGATTTAATTGACTTACCTACCACCATTTTACCAAGAATTTGACCAAGTAGTTGACAATATACTTTACCAGTGTTTTATATTTACATACGCTTTTTGGGGGGAGGGTGGGTACTAGGGATTGGACCCAGGGTTGCATAACCACTGAGCAACATCCTAACCCCAGCCCTTTTTATTTTTTATTTGAGATAGGGTTTTGCTAAATTGCTTAGGACCTCATTAAATTGCTGAGGCTGCCTTTGAACTTAGGATTCTCCTGCCTCAGCCTGCCCATCCTCTGGGACTACAGGCAAGAGCATGGCACCTGGCTACATATGTTTTTATGTAACTAATTATCATTCTCTTTCTTTATCTTTAAAGAATTCTCTTTATAATTTTTTTGTAAGGTAGGTCTCATGATGATGAACTCTTTTGTTTGTCTGAGAAAGTCTTAATTACCGTTTTTTTTCTTTTTCTGCATTTTTATTGGTGAATTATAGTTTTACATAATGATGGGATTTGTTGCATATTGGTACATGCATACAATATAGCAGTATTATTTGCCCAGTATCACTCCCCATCTCTTCCCTGCTCCCTTCCTACCTCCCACCCTCTGGTTCCTTTCTTCTACTAATCTCCCTTTGATTTTCAAGGGAATCCTTGCCCCCTCTGCCTTTGTTTTCTTTTTTCCCTCTCTAGCTTCTGCATATGAAAGAAAATATATAATCCATGACCTCCTGACTTTGGCTTATTCTGCTTAATATAATGGTCTCTAGTTCCATCCATTTTCCGGCAAATGACATAATTTTATTCTTCTTTATAACTGAATAAAACTTGTCTCTCTCTCTCTCTCCCTCTCTGATATATATATATATATATATATATATATATATATATATATATATATACATACATATATATATATATACATATATATATGTATATATATGTATATATATATATATATCACATTTTCTTTACTCATTATGCATTGATGGACACCTAGGCTGGTTCCATATTTTAATATTGTGAATTGTGCTGTTATAAAATGGCTCTGCATGTATCCCTATGGTATGATGGCTTTAATTCATTAGGATAAATACTGAGGAGAGGTATAGTTGGATCATATAGTGATTGCATGTCTGGTCTTTTGAGGAACCTCCATGTTGATTTCCATAGTGATAGTTTAAATTTGTAATTCCATGAATAGTGTAAAAGTGTTCCTTTTCCTCCACATCCTGTGCAACATTTATGATTATTTGTATTCTTTTTTAAAAAATATATTTTCTTTATTCTTTGCATAGTTTTTTTTTAAAGAGAGAGAGAGAGAGAGAGAGAGGGAGAGACAGGAGAGAATTTTTTAATATTTATTTTTTAGTTTTCGGCGGACACAGCATCTTTGTTTGTATATGGTGCTGAGGATCGAACCCGGGCTGCACCCATGCCAGGTGAGCGCGCTACCACTTGAGCCACATTCCTAGCCCTATGATTACTTGTATTCTTGATGATGGCTATTCTGACTGGTGTATTTTTGAGATACATTGTTGCTGCTTATAATATTTTTGATTGGCAGTTTTCCCTTCAAGACTTTTGAGTATGTAATCCCACTGCATCCTGGCCTGCAAAGTTTCAGTTTCAACAAACACCACTGATAATCTTATGGAGGTTCCTTTGTTTGTTACTATTCACTTTCCCCTTAGTACTTTTAATACACTGTGTTATATTTTGATATGGATCTTATGAGATTCATTTTATTTGCTGTCCTTTGAGTTTACTGAACCTGGACTTCTATTTCCTTACCCTGGCTGAGGAAGTTTTCTGCCATTATTTTTGAACATGTTTTCTGTTCCTTATTCTCTTTTTTCACCTTCTGAGATGCCAGGGATGCATATATTGTCAGGGTTAATGGTTTCTCCTATGTTTTTTAAGCTATTTACACTTTTTCATTCAGTTTTTTTTCTTTTCATTCAGATTAGATTCAAGTGATCTATCTTCTACTTTACTGATCCTTTCTTTGGTGTGATCTAATCTGCAATTGACTCCATCTTTTGAATTTTCAGTTCAGTTATAGTATTCTTCAGCTCTATGATTTGTTGGATATTTTTACATTTTTTCTATGTCTATTGAAGTTTAAAATTAGCTTTTTCATTTCTGTCTTGACCTTGTGAATGTATTTATCATGGTTATTTTTATTTACTATTGGGCAGATTACATTTCTCTATGTGAGTCATTTTCTGAAAATGTATCTTTTTGTTTTATTTGGAATATATTCTCCTGTTTCATCATGTTCCTTGATATTCTCTCTCTCTCTCTCTCTCTCTCTCTCTCTCTTTGTTGTTGTTGCTATGTTTCTTTTTGTT